TTATAAGTTATTTTAGAACTTTTTAAACATTTTATTCTAAGCAAAATAAATTAAATTTAAAGTAACAATTTAATTAAATATATTTAAACTTAATCTAAAGAAATTAAAAGTTGCGTGAAAGTCGCAAATCGAAACGATTTATTAAAATAAAATTTAAAAAAATGAATTCAAATTATTAAATTTATAAATTATTTTTTAATATTTTAGTTTTAAAAATTTATATTTAATTTTCTCTCAAGAAAAATCCAATCGAGAAGGATTTTATTTTTATTAATTAATTTTTACCCCCGATACTTTTATTAAACTGCTATTTTAAAATTAATTTTATATTATTTACTACTATAATTAATTTTAATTATAATAATTTTAAACGGGGTTATAAGGGCCATTTTATAAGGGGCTGTTATAAGGGGCCATTTTAACTCTTAAAAGCTTAATAACAATTAATCTTAATTAAGTAAAGTGAACATTGTTACGTTAACTGTATGCAGTTTCTCCACTTCTCGGTGCCTTATTTATAATTATAAATAGTAAAAATTAATAAATTAATGTTTAAAATAACTTATAACGGTATAAAAATGAATTTATCGCTTATAATTATCGATAAATTAACATTAAAATAGCAATATTTAGTCGTACAAGTTACTATATCTGGTAGTGCGTAAGGGAAGAAAATATACTTCAACATTACGGAATTTTGCATACTATAATGATCGTAACCATGTAGTAAATAGGGAAAGAATATAAGCTTAATTCTTTCCTACTAAAGTTTGATATGGGGGCAATCTTTTTATCATAAAAGAAGTTTCCTGGAATGCCTCCAATTTAACTACACGTCGTTACTATGCGTAACGTTCTAAGCATTCTAGCGAAAAAGACCCCGTTATGCAGGATCAGTTTAAGTCGTGTGGAGGAAAGTGAACCAGAGTTTTAGCAATACTAACGACGTCCATGGTAATTCTTTCGCCGTGCATTGCAATTTTACGGTACAACAAATGTCGACATGCCTTCTTACATAAACCGGGTGAACCGCTGGGAGTTTGCATAGGGTAGAGTCTCGACCAACCTCTCTCACTGCCTGCAGGAATTGTCGAGTAAAGATACAGTACGTAACAAGCAGCGCGGAAGAAACGTGAACGTGGAATGTTACGTAAACGACTTTGTAGAGTAGAGAGAGTTTGTGTAAACAGAAAGAATAGCTTAGCCCCTGGGCCAAGAAATCTTGCAATAACAGCCAACAAACACACAACTTTTACTTGCATTAAAGAACATTTCTTGCATAACAGTTTAAAGAACTCGCTTCTATAGTAACTGTACAGTACAGTACAACCTCGTTTTATCGTTTCATTATTACGCATCGATCGCATTCACTCGGTGAAGAGCTCTCTATTATTCGATTGATAATTCAAAAAGATATAGAAATAGTTTGAATTTTTCCTTTTCTTAAGTCGAAAAAACATAGTTTATTTTCTTATAATTTTATAACAGACTTTACTTATAATCTATACATATAGGCATAACGTCATGTAGTAACCATTCGATATAGCGAACTATTATGTTGGCCTTGCCTGTTTTTTATGTATATAGTAAACGGTTTAGCTCAGTCCGTTGAGAGTTCACCATATCGAGAGTCCATTGTATATTTTAGTGAAATTTTAGGGGGAAAAAATGCTTAGTTGATTGATCTACTTTGCTATGGGTCTGTGATAAAAGTAATGTATTAAGTAGCTACTTTACTCTGCCATTAATTAATTAAAGTCGAATTTTCTGTACTCTACTTATTGATAAGTAGAATAACTTTAGAAGATAGAAAAATAGAATAAAATTAAATAAATTGTAGATTATTTGAAAATTGAATTGAGAATGAGGATGGTTTGAAGTGAATATCTTTACAATTGACTATTTTCCTATTTTTAAATTAATCATTAATAATATAAATAATCTGAAATTATTCATTAAAAGGTATTTTAATGTTTATTTAAAGTTTTTCATGTTTTGTTTTTGAAAAATCATTGCTTACTCACTCTTTACTTCGCACTTCTTATCAATTCCAATCGCAGCACTATTAATTCATAACGTACTGTACAAACACTTTAAAATCAATTTTAAATATACATAAATACCGAATTGATTATAAATATTCTGTTTTTAAAACATTTAAATCTTAATTTTTATTTTAAAAAAATGTGAGCTAAGAATTGTTCAGAACTTTGCGAAGCGAAAGTACGCATTATACGCTATTATCTAGAGTGAGTCTGAAGATCGGTGGATGACGACTGATAATAAATTGTAAAAATTAGAATTAAAACTATAGAATAATTGGAAAATTAATGGTTTATATAAAACTATAGAATTTATATAAATAAGTAAAGAAATAATAGAAAATATGAGGCAAGTAGTTTCTGGAATTTCGAGTTTATGACAGAGTGAAGTCAATGTTTTTGTTTTTTCATTCTTTGAAAGAGAGATAAATATAATACGAGCATAAAGTCTAATGGAAGTTTTTTTTTGGTTCCTTTCATACACTCCAAAACAAATAAGAATTTTTTAAAATTGTGTTTTCGCTGATCCAATTGGTTTGAGATGCAACGAGGTAGATGATAATGCCACAGCATTGGCTCAAATTAAATGATATGACATCTTTATTCATGTATTAGCTAGGATCTTACAGTTTTAGTTCACGTATGGAGTGTCTATTCTGTAAATTTTACTATTCGTTTTCTGTTACCCCCTTTAGTCTCGATACCCTGTTTTTGATAGGTCGAAGGAAACAATTTGCAAAAAATCGAATATTTTCAAAATTATAAATATATTTATATCCTTTTCAATCAATTAACTCATCTATGTCTCATGTTCACCAATTTTCTGTAGGCCTTATTTTTGGCTTATAGAAAATTGATAAATATGAACTTATAATATCAAAATAAGCTCTGAAAATTGATGAATATCGACACAAAGTATCAAAATAAGCTATAAGATTTGGTGACTATGGGCTTTGAAATATCAAAATAAGCTGTAAAGGTGGCGAATGTGGACTCTAAAATATCAAAACAAACTTAAAAATTGAATATTTTACTCGAAGAAACTATTTAAAAATTATTTAAAATCCTTATAAAAATCAAAATAAAATATATTCTAGGATCTATTTAAATTCGCAAATAAATCTAAGCATTTTAAAAAATGTCTCAAAGCTCAATTCTGAAGAAATGGGCTCGGATGACGAAGAAGAAGAAAGAAAGAAAAAAATAAGAAGTAAAGATACATTTACTGCGTGCTGCAAAACTCTAAATCTGAATCACTCAGTAGCTAACTGACTAAACTACAAAACCTAAGTGAAGTGAAGTAAGACGATATGATAAATGTTTCATAGAAATATTTGATAGTATACTTCTAAACAAGAAAGTCTTCTCTCTTTCTTTCCCTGCTGTAGTCTCTCTCTCTCCCTCTTTTTTTGCCTTTCCTTTGCCGACAACAAGAATTTGATTGATGTTCCTAGATTTTAATGCCCTTCCCCGTTGGAGAAAAGACGAGAGTCAAGATGTTCCCTGTACAATAAATCTCTCGGTCGTGGAATAAAATATTAGATGGATTGTGAATGGTAGGTAACGAAAAATTGCTTCTTTTCAAGCTTTTCTTTTTTATATTATTATTATTATTTAAAACGAAAGAAGAAGTAGGTTTATGTTAAATTTCATTATAAAGACGAGGATTTATGTAGTAAAAATCTTTGTAAATGATGTTAAAATATGGGAAAAGATGGAGCCTTTAATGATAATTAAATTAAGTAAACCTTTGGAATTTTTTATCCTTTGGAGTTTAAATCTAGCAATGGAATTTGGAATTTCTATTGAGAATGCTAGATTTATACGTGAAAAAAGCCAAGTTAAAGCGTAAATTTAACATTAAAATTTTTAGATTTTTAAAATGATTTTTATGTTAAATTTAAGCATTAACTTGGCTTTCTTAGCGTAGAATTCGAGCATTATCCATGAGAAGTCCTTTAAAATTTTCAGATTTTTTAAAGGATTTTTAAGGACTTTCTCATTGAAAATACTTTATTTCTACGAGAAGAAAGCCAAGCTGATGCTTAAATTTAACGTAAAAATCCTTTAAAAAGTCTTTAAAATAATAAATAAATTTAATTAAACCCGAGAAGACCTTAAAATAAATTAGAATTTTGATAAATATTTTGAAAAAATAATAATAATTCTAAGTCGATCTTTATAAGAGCGAAAGTTATCTTTTCTTCAAGATTGGCAGATTAAAGAGGGTTTTTATTTAAGGTTCGTTAAACGGGGTGATCAATAAGTTAGGCTAACCAATTTTGTAGATAAATTCTAGTGTTATTACTGTGATAAGTGGTATTATCTTCCGACATCTTACACAACGTATAGGTTTGCCATGGCGTGATTAGGACTACAGTGCATGAAAACAAGCCATTGTAAAACTTATTCTCATTAAATTGCTATTTAGTTTAGTTCAATGAGTCAGTTTCATGGCTTCTTTGTTAGTTTATAGACTAGCGTTAAATAAGTTTCATTCAGAAATCTTTTTTAAAAAATGTATGTTCAACATATTGTAGAATGAAACGGTGTGTAAAATTTGTATTAAAGATGCTGAATTTTTTAAAATTGAATCGTTTTTCTTAATTTTATAAGATGATTTATTAGACTATACAATATTTTGCTTATTATTATCCTTGTTAAACCTCTAAAAAGGTGTTTTAGGGCCGTAAAATACCCTTTTAGAGGGCATTTTAAGAGCCTTAGGAAACCTTAAAACGCATTTAGAGGACCTTAATAAGAATAATAAGCAGCAAAATATCATGTAAAGTCATTAAGGATCTAAATATTAGGGCTTTAAAAAGGTATCTAAGATGTCATTTTAGAGGTGTTGAGGCCCTAAAACGTGCTAGCTTTTCTAGCTTCTAAAACGAAAATAAGAATAAAAAATCGCTTTTTAATTGTAATTGTTTAACGTATTTGTCTTAAATTTTCCAGGTTTCGTCCATTAATAGGGTCTTACGAAATTTGGCAGCACAAAAAGAACAACAAGTTCAAGTTCAAGCACCAGACGCTGTTTACGATAAATTACGGATGCTCAATGGACAAGGATGGCCACGACATAATCCATGGTATCCTGGAGGTGCTACGTTTGGTGGAATAACCCCGGGTTATGTTCCACCAGTCAGTAGTACAGCTCTACAAACGGAACATCAAACGTTACCAAAGAAAGGTAAAGTTTATTAAGGGAAATGGTAACATTTTTCTTACTTGAAATTTATGGGATTATCATTTTGTAAATATTAGATTTATGCAGACTTTATAGAGTATTTTTATCTGGTCAGAGAATTTTCCAATTTTTTTTTCCTCTATATAACAGCAACTCTTACGTCACGAATCAAATTTCAGGCACGAAATTTATCCATCACCAGTGGACCGTAAATCGAATTTTCGCCTCTAAAGTAGCCTATTTCACAAAAATCGATTTTCAAGGTGCCGTGATTGGTTATACAGATCAGTAACATAACACGAGTTTAAGTTATTCATGCTGTTACGATAGCGTTGTGTCGTCCAAACAAATTGCAATCGTGCATTTAATTACGCGCAACCTTCCCCCCCTTAGAACGTACAGACGTTGATTGATGATAAATCGTAATAGCATTTATAAGGAAATTTTATTAAATAACTTACGTAACATGTCTTTGAATTACGTTACGGTGTTTCTAGTAATAGTATAAATAATAATACAAAACTTCTGAAAGGTAGAGTAACTCGATCAGTCTCATAATTTAACTTTTCGTACTGCTAGTCATTACGGGGGACGTAATAAATCAGGAAGAGAGTTATATATCAAAAATTCTTTTCACAGATAACACTCATCAGCGTCACATCTGTAACTTTTACCACTTTTCTTTCTGGTGTCTTCGATGCACGGTTTGTTAAAGGAACGTTCAATTCTACACGCTGCAACACGTCCATTCACAATGCTTTGCTCCCTGGCGCGAAAGGTCTGGATAAGATATAGGGGTATTGCAGAAACGATACACACACACACACACACACGAATTCCCCTTTACCAACCCCTTTAAGAGAAAAGATAAAAGACAAGCCAGCCAGCTAGTGCAATCTAAGATAAAAGACAAGGAGATTGGTGGTCGAGCATTGCGGTTTTGCGGGCAACAGGAGATGCCCCACTATCATTAGACGTCATCATGTACCAAACAGGAGCAAGTTATCTGAAGTCTGATGGCGAGGACAACAGGTCCAATGGGCCGGACATTGGCTGCTTCTGATTATGATACCTGGAATAGCGACTATCGGTAACTCGCGCTTGGTTAGGCCACACGAGATAAGGGAATGGACAGTCGGACGTCTTTTATATAGACACCTTTCTGTCTGCTGCACTAACCAATCCGCTGATTAACCCAAACTCTATTAACTGGAGCGCAACAGAGCAAAATTCCAGAACGTAATTGCGCAGAACCCATTTTTTTTTAACGACATTTTCTCGAAATGGCCTAAAATTAATTAAGTTTTTTTGATGACGTATTCGAAGTTTCGACCGTTTAACGCGTGATAATGAATCGGGAAAGGAAATTTTTCCTATTTTTTTTACGCTGATTTATATTATTGGAAGAAGCCGAGCATGTCGGATTTTTAGTACAAGTTTTTACTTCCAAAAGCATCTTATCTTTCGGGATTTTCCTCTTTTCTTTTTAATCAGGTGAATAAAAATAGATAAAGAAAATATTTTAAAAGTTTGTACAAAGTTTCTCATCTCTTAGGTTCTATAAAAGGAGCATATAAAACCCGGCCATCTAATGCTAGAGAAAGCTTGAATCGGTCATAAAAAAAAGGGAAGGAACCCATTCTAAAGCAATGCTCCTCTCTGAAAGTAACAGAAGCCAGGAAATTTAAGCTATCTTTCCTTTTAGCACGGCCACGTCTAAGGCTAGGCTAGCTTTATCACTGTGCTAGAACAGCCACGGGGAGGGGTGGAGACACGGTAACCATAGCAACCAACCGGGGTCCTATCTCGTTTCGGGCCGAACGAGTAAAACGAAGTGACGGGCGGGTCCTAACGCGGTCGCCGCCCACTCAGGCGGAAATCGACGATAACGCTTTTCCCGTTTCCATGACAACGTCGAGGCCCGGGATAAGGGGGGAAGAACGTCCCATCTAAGCTTTCTCTACCCACCCCGTTTGTATAAAATCGTGGGCTAGCTGCTGGCTTTCAGAAAACTACCGAACTTTTAGGCATGCGTTGCAGGCATTTTCGGAAGTGGCGAGGATATCGTCTATCTCTCTCTCTCTCTCGCTCGCTCGCTCGCTCTTTCTCTCCCCCTCCTGCGAATTGAAGAGAAGCCATTATAGTGAAGGCTGTCTACTCCCGTTGAAACGGGCCTGGCTTATATCTTAGTTGGTCCATTTTACCGATACACGTTGGCTCCCTTAAAGCACCAATTTAGGGGATGGGACTAGAAGTTTTAGAAACTTGGTTTTTCCATCATTCTTGCTGATGGATTCTCTCTCGCTCTAAATAGATCAAGGCCTGCAACTTACTATCGCCTCTTCAACAAAATGCATTAGTTTCAGACTTTCAGGCATTTCGAAAACTTTTAACTTTATTCAAGCGTTAAAAAAGTTTCCGGAATACACTTCAATTTTTTGAATTTGAAATTTTTCCCATTTCCTTCTTTCCTAAATTATAATTTCCTTTAATTTTTTTTTCCTTTGTATTTTAGAAGGGGGAAAATATTTTGTATAATTGACATTTATACACATTTTAATTTAATTTTTAGAAAATTGTGTTTTAAATTAAAAATTTTTTAAAACTGAACAATTTTAAACACTTTTAAACACGCTTTAATTTCATTACAATTAACATATTTCTTTGACTGTAAAGTGTTTATTTTTGGATCATTTATACACAATTCTTTAATTGTTAATAAATTTATAAACTTTTTTACAATATTATAAACAATTCAAACTGAATTAGAATCTGTGAAGGTAATTTATAATTAATTTAAAGACTGATTGGCAAATTTTATTATAAATTTTAACGATTTTTCTTTAGTTTAACAACATTTCATTATATTAAACAGAGTAAAATTGCGAGTAAGCAGGTTTATTACGCTGTTTTTTTTTTTACATTATTTGATTTTATATTATAATTTTAACAATATTTTTATTAAAAAAATAGATCTAAATCAAACAGGAAAAAAATTACTTGGATATTCCAAGCGAATTTTATATTTATAAAGAGAGAAAGAGAGAGAGAAATAAAAATGATATTCAATTTCTATATTTTGAAGAACTAAAAATCTGAATCACAAAAATGGCATACCGGCTGACAAACAAATCAGAGAAAACAAAAAAAGGGGGAAAAGGAAAAAAAAAGAGAATATTCTTCTGTCGTTTTGAAGAAATCCCTTCAATCATGCATATATTGAAGTCGTACGTCGATTTCTACCAGTTTTTCTGCAATAACACTCTCAATCGATTGCTGGGGCACATTGCAAGTTAGTATCAAAAGTAGTTATTGGATTTCGAATCGAAAAAATTTTATTTTCCTCCCCCTTGCACTCCTCTCTTCCAATCTTTCTTGTACTATAGAAGGCCATCGACCAAGGAAATTTTATTTTAATATGATCCGTCCGCGACTGAAGATTTTCTCCCTGTGTTCAGGTTGCAATTGAAACTACGATGCAATGCTTGGTCGAGCAAGTGATGAGAGAGACGTTCTATTCTCATATCTTTCTACTTTATGCAGAAGAAGCAATAAAATAAGAATGAATGTCATCGATCAGGATACTTCTTGTTGCCAGAAACTGCTATTAACAATTGACGGTGTTAATATATAACCCGTTTTTGGACATTGTTTTAACCTTATTGAATTTAATTGTGTAATTAATTTTTCCTTTAAAATTAAGGTTTATAACACTAAAAACTTGGCTCTAGTCTTTAGTCATGTGTATTCTTTATAGAGTTTGAATTAGGTCGTGTGAATATACAGCTGTGTTTTAAGAAAGAAACAAGTGTTACAATGATAAATATTCACCTATTTCAATAGACAATGGGGTAGATGTTTAATTGTGTTAAGTTTCTGTTAAAATTAAGGTTTATATAACACTAAAAACTTGGCTTTAGTCTTTAGTCATGTGTCTTCTGTATAGGGTTTAAAGTAGGTTGTGTAAGTAAATATAGTGTTTAATACGAAAAAACAACTGTTATACTGACTAATATTTATCTATTTTAGAAGATATTTAATTGTGTAATTAATTTTTAAAATGGTTTCTATTAAATTTAAGGTTTATAACACTAAAAAACTTTACTCTAATCTTAAGTCACGTGTATTCTTTACGGGAGTTTAGGTTATGTAAGTGAATATAGTTGTGTTTNAATATTTATCTATTTTAGAAGATATTTAATTGTGTAATTAATTTTTAAAATGGTTTCTATTAAATTTAAGGTTTATAACACTAAAAAACTTTACTCTAATCTTAAGTCACGTGTATTCTTTACGGGAGTTTAGGTTATGTAAGTGAATATAGTTGTGTTTTATAGACGGAACAAGTGTTATACTGACCAATATTTATTTATTTTAGTAGACAGTGGGGTAGATACTGACGTATCTACTCCGAGTGATCAAAGTGCCAACGGTGAAGACGATACCAATGCTCGAATACGCTTGAAAAGAAAATTGCAAAGAAATCGAACTTCCTTTACGCCCGAACAAATAGAAGCCTTAGAAAAAGGTACTTAAATCATTTAAAAATTATCATTTTCCTTATAAATAAATCACAATTAAATGGAAGATATTTTAGTTTTCCTGCCTAATTTAATTGTATTTTCTTACAATTTATTTATATTAGTATTAGTTTTTTTTTTCTAATTTAGCTTGTTTTAGATGCTACATCATCGAGAATATGTAAAAATACATATACGATAGAACCTGTTTAAAACGGAAACCCGTCAAAACCGGTACTGCGCGATTCCGGTTTACACAGGTTTCATATGGGCTAAAGAATGTAGCCTTATAAATATTCTTATAATCATTAAAGGAGGAGCCTGTATAATTTTAATTAATATACAATGAAACCTGCTTAAAATGGAATGGCACGGCACCGAATATTTCTTTCCGGTTTAGCAGGTTTTTCTTTTTTCCTAGCATAGAAAATCGCTCGGTTCTGAAGAAATTTTCCCGTTTAGGCAGGTTTCCGTTTTATCCAGGTTCCACTTTAGACAAGTTTTAGTGTAATTAAGTAACAGTTTACGCACTCGATAATTAAATAAACTTTTCAATTTTTATATAAGCTGTAGTATAGAATTTATATCCGTGATAATTTGCTTCCTAATTTTGATTTTTCTACTGACAAAAGTATTATAATCAAGAATTTATCTATAATTTTTTGATTTTTCTATAATTTAAAAACTTATTTATATTATTGAACTGAGTATTATGGAATTCGTTTCTCCTTTACAGTCTCTAGCTCATATATAAATCGCCTTTCACAAGTTAAGACCTTTATAAAATAATATAAAATCACTTCTAGAATATTATAGTTTTCAAGAATAATTATAAATTAAAAAATTAAATAATATTTTTGTTTATATTACTTGTATTTTTTTTAGTTTTCTTGAAAAAAACTAACTTTGTAATCCTTATTTTTCTTGAAGAAATTAATTTTATAATGAGATGCTGCACGCATCTCATTCACTCAGGATTATAGAGTTAGTTTCTTCTTAATTATAATTAAAGTTAAATTCTATTTTTAAAACGATTTGCCATTGGTCAGAGTGATTTAATCTGTCGCCTACGTCAGACAGATGGACAGAACAATCCTGATTTCAGTAATCCATCATTTGAAATAGATCGAAAATTTCATCTTTAAACTTTTTCTTCTTCTTTTTATTTTATTTTTTTATTTAATTTGAAATCAGTGGGGGATCTAGAGCATTGTTGTCTAAAGTTGTTAAGAGAAAAATTATAGAAAATCGATTAAATTCTCGTGAAAACAATGATATTTTATAGAGGGGCACAATTAGAAAATTGGTTGATATTCATCGACATCTGACTAGAGTTAACTTAGTTTCATGCAACTGAATTAATTCAGTTGCATGAAACTAATAACTTTTAGCTTCTAGATTTGTTAAAATTTTAATTTTTAAATAAATTTTCAAATTAAGTATCGTAGAGCATCTTAAACTCGAGATGCTCCTTAAATTCGTAGCAGCATTACTCCTCGAAAGGATGCCCAAGATGAGAATTTTATATCATTTTTCTACTTACTAATTAAAAAATCTATATAAATCTACATGTTAATTATAATTGATTTTAAACGTATTTTAGTCTTTAATTAAATTTTTAAACTGTATTTACTTCTAATCAGCATCTAGTTTTTCTGTTTTAAACAGTGAGGCTTTGCTTGGTATAGAATTTCATATTTACATTTTATTAGAAGTAACGTGTGATGTGGTTCCCATACTAATTTATCAGCCTGTTAAATGCGGACGTAAGAGCTTGTAATAAAGTAATTTAGACAATTTATATATGCTTATACGTTATTTGTTTCGCACAGATCGACAGAACGTCCGTATCCACTCAGACAGTTTAGGTGACATTTAAATAGCTCGCGAACCCCGAGTTGATAGAGGTTGTTGTGAATATTAACGGTAATTTAATAATATTTAACACTTATTTTCAGTTAAAGTTAAAAATATTATAGAAAAGATATATTTCATTAGAATAGTTTAAATTTAAAAAAAATTTCATTAATTAATTAAAAAACAGAAGAACAATTAATTATATCGTTTCAACCATCAGCATCCGATTTTATTTCTTTATTTTATATTTAATTCTTGTGAGAATTATTATATTTACTTTCTCTTTAAAAATTTCTCGAGAAATTCGAGAATTTTTTTTATATTTAATTTCCTAAGCTACGACTTTAAAAATTAAATAAAATATCTATAAATATCGCATCGAGTTGACCTTAAAAAACCTCACTCGAGACATTACAAACCTCATAAATGTATCAATAAATAAATATATAACGCTACTTCTTCAATTATTCATATTTTATATCTAGAAATCTCAAGAAATTCTTAATAAAATATATTTAATTTGCGTATTTTAATATTATTTACTTGGTTTTTATTCATTAGAAAATAGGAAGAGAAGGTAACGTACGTGATAAATGGAGAAAAACGTGTGATAATTCAAAAAAATGCAGCCAATACGAGGGATTTATCTAAAATATATATATATATATATAAGGTTTTAAATTCAATTTTTATCGATAAATAAATATGAAACGTCCTCGACTCTCGGATGTCTCCTGTATTGAGTTTCGATCAGAAAGTCCACCATACAATAACATTCATTTTTGAGTTTCCTTACCGCATTTCTCTATTGAATATCCAAAAAAAATTTCCGAATTTTTCAATACTTATCCCTATAACCTAATATACTAAACATAAAATTGATCTTTCGATCTAACAATTGTATAGGCCCTACACTTCAGACTTTGATTGCAGCCTAAATTTACGGAACCTGTACGAAAATGACAGGCTTACTATGCAATTTAGGCCCAAAAACATGTAAATTTTTATATATTATTTTAGATTAAAGGAGCGTTTATCACTTTTCTGTAGGTTATATTTTAGGCCTGAGGAAGATCATAAGGCCTGTAGAGAAGGAGGGTCAGAAGGCCACTTAAAACACGTGTTTTGGATTCACAGTTATGTGAAAAACATTATATAAATTAGTTTATTTTGATAGATAAGGGGGTAAAAACTATGTTTTATTGATTTTATCCGCATATTTTTATGGTTTTTGAAGTGGGGTGGAACCACATCTGTTACTGTTCTTAACCCCTTCCAGTATAGACTATTTTGAATGTAAATTATTAAAATCTGTTAGTTCTAACGTGTAAATATGATATAATAATATATATAATTATTTTATATTATACATTATTAACACTTGTAATGACGTGATGACGTGTATTTATGACGCAAAATTGCCGTTTGTTCGTTACACACGAACGAAAATACACGAGAAAAAACAAATTTACTTAATAAAAGAAATGTTTATTAAGTGTATTAATAAATACATAATGTGAAATATTACAGAATAAAGAATAAAGTTTCTTAATTTAACACCTGTAAAAATTTCAGGTTTTTTAACTTTTAAATACGTTTTCAGTTGAAGATTTTTACATTTTAAAGGCATTAATTTTAAATGTTTAATATGCTAATGAAGAGAAAAACACTATTATTTTCAGAATTTGAGAGAACACATTATCCAGACGTATTTGCAAGGGAGAGGTTGGCATCTAAAATCGATTTGCCTGAAGCCAGGATACAGGTAAGAAACGAAGTAGGTTCTTTCTTCTTATCTAAGATACAAAATATTTTAGTTAGAAGTTAATTTTTAAATATATTAGATAAATTTAAAAAGTTTATTTCATTCATTTCAACAGTTAAAATTATTATTATTTAGTAATTTAAAGAAGAAATTTTATAAGATGATAAGGTGGAAAGATCATCTCCAGCACCTTTTACAGATTAATTATAGTTATATAAGTTTAATTATAATTAAATTAATATTTTATGGAGGAAATAATGCACAAAAAACGACAAAATATTGTTGTTTTAATAGATTTAGTATGACACGCTTTTGTAGGCCCATCTTTTTTTTCAGGTTTGGTTTTCGAATCGTCGAGCGAAGTGGAGGAGGGAAGAAAAGTTAAGAAATCAAAGAAGAGCTGCGGAACAGGCGGCTGTTTCAGTTACAAGTCCAACACCAGCACGTCTTTCTATTAATTCTGGTTTCCCTAACGCACTATATCCTACTATAGGCCAACCCATGGCCAGTATGGCCGAGACATACAGGTAATTACAATTATACGCCTTGTATTCTAAGAGCTTCATCTTGCTTCTTTTTTTCTTCTTGGGAAGGGTCGTTGATCTTTATTTATTTAAAAATTAATGGCCCAATTAAGGATAAAATCCTATTATTTATTAAGGTATATAATATTTTAATTTAAAATAGTATAGAAGAGCACGTAAACACTCAAAATAGTTTACTTTTCCGCAGAGTCTAATTGGAGGAGGGATAAAATTTCACTTATCCTTACTCACGTTTTAGTGATTTTCGCGCGAAATTTAGATAAATTTCACTCTTTTATCTATTAATTATTTTCATTTAGTCTCAAGGGATTTAATTTTAAAATTAATGGTGATAGATTGTTCCTTTAGATCACGTTTAAAAAACAGACTCATCAAGTGAATCCCTCCAGAGAAGATGCCATGCTGTAATTACAGCTTGCATTTTAATATGTTAGAAGGGGTCAAAGGCCTAATTTTGCTTATCACAGCGAGTAAATTTTTCATTTATCGAGCAGTTATCTTACGAAAATTTAGAGAGAATCCGAACAAACATGGTTGACTTGCTGGCAGACAGACTGCTCCAACACACAAGTTGTGTTCCTTGAATGTAACATGGGGTGAGAACATGTTGAAGGAGAGATGAAATATGATTGGATAGTATAATTACGGTATTAATTAAGCAGTCACCTGGTGGTCCGTGCGTCAAGTTTTACTTACCCCCCCATCTAATTACAGTCATTCCCGAGCCGCTTCTAAATTTCGTAATTATATACTAAGCTTCCGGTTCCGCTATTCTGTTATTAAAACGTCCTTACTCTTTTCTGTATAATTTTCCTCGTCTAATTTTCACTTCATAATTTAACCTAAATTATATAAATAGCGGGTGACTTAGACTTATAGATTATTATTTAAGTAGTCCTCTTACTAGCTAGGATTCTTTAGAATTTCCACGTGTTAAACTCTTAACACTGGTTTTTCAGCTCCCTGCCTACAATGCCCAGTTACAGTATGGCAAACAATATGGCGACAAGCTCGTGTCTTCAGCAGCAGACTTCTTCCTATTCTTGCATGTTACCACCGGGTGGAACAAGAGCATACGATCCTCTATCCCTGGGTAACTATTCTCGCTCAACTTGTCCAACGGCACAACCTCACATGATGCAGTCGGTCAACGGACAGTTCACAACAGTCAACAATGGAAGCGCCGCATCAACTGGTAAGTTTCGTATAGAATTATGCGCTTTTATAGGTAATTTACTGGCATAAAAACCCCTCCCGCTCACCCCACCGTCGATTTACTTGGAGGCATTTTGATTAAAAATGACACCGCGAATCTATGTAATAAAACACTCGATTGCTTCTTAACCCCGTTGGTGATTAGCCTAACGACGGGAATATTTATAGAACGAGTTATTCGTCCAAATTTTCAGTCTGTCACGTCTTCTCTTTCCATTTGCATAATGAAATTAATACACTTGATAACGAGATTTGCGTTTAAGAAACTTTTGTCACATTCGCCATTATAATCGATGTTTAATCAAACTCAAGGATTAATAAATACACGAAAACGAATCATTTCCGGTCTTGTCTACCTCACCCCACCTCCTCTTCAGTTTCTTTAACATTAAAAAAACCAATTAAACTAGGATAGATTTAAAACTCACCCCGCATAAATTTCGCTTGTAATTTAATAAATTAAAGCGAAATTAAGGTAACAAACATTTATATTTTATATTTATACAATTTAATTTTGAAAAAATCTATTTATTGGAGTGTAAAATACATATTTAAAAAAAAAAAAATCTTTCCGACGTTTAAAACATAACTCGCGTCATTTGAATAAATGAAAATAAGTGGGTCTTNCATTACGGCCGGTGCGCGTTATACGTTAAAGCGCCTTAGATTTTTTTTCTGTTTTATTTGATTAATTTTTTATATAAGGGTTATAAAACTATTGAAAACTTTTCAGGCCTTATATCACCTGGTGTTTCCGTGCCAGTTCAAGTACCGGGACAAGCGAACGATCTCAATATGGCGTCGAATTACTGGCCCAGGTTACAGTGACAACTAGTAGCTTAAGCATCTTATTGCCGAGTGACTTCAACGATGACTGATCGGTCACTTTCTCCTGGGATGGGTAGGCGTGTCCAGACTCGACACCCCAAGGTTTATCGCCGGTCTTTCTAAATTTGCTGACTGTCCTCTATTTTGACAGATGAGATTGTCGTCCACATCGCACATAAACTCTTTGGACAAGATAAACTACATCTTCAAATTCTTGTCTAAATGAGCTTTAATCATTTACTTTCAAACAATAATTTAACAATATTTAAATTGGTATATCGTTTCCACAGGTTTTAAATTTCCCATTCATTAAGTCATCATTTCCAGTTCCGGTTCTGATTCTTTGTTTATAAAATAAGAGAGATATTATATATAAATATATATATAAATAAGGAAATTTGATGTTATAATTTAAAATCTATTGTAGAAAAGAATTTTGATATGTCTTGTAAATATGTTGGAAAAAATATCAAATAATTATTCTCATCCTTCACAGAAATATAATTCGAGATGTACAGATTTTCAATGTTGGAAAATACAAAAAAAGTAATAATTATCCTAAAAATTAATTAAAATTTACATATATTATTCATTATTCTTCCTTTAAGAAAGAATAATTAAACATTTTACCTATTCGTTCCTCCTTTTTTTGTAGAGAATATTCAAAAATATTCCATCGAGCCACAACCATTCATTTTAAAGGTGATAAAATAAGGAGGAGGGAATATTTTTCTGTTCTGGCCAATAAATCGAAATGTTAAGTGGTAAAATAAAGTAAGATACGAGAGAAAAAATATAAGAATATTTTTCTGCAAGCTGAAAAAAATTAAAATAAAATAAAATGTATGGAAAATTGTGCATCGCGAAAATTCACATCGGGGTAATATGTCATGGCAGAGTAGAGTCTTTTAAATCTTGTGTGTACATTCCTCATCCTTCAAACTGTGTATTATAAAAGAAATTATCTCAAGCTGAAAAAAATAACTTACTGTATAAAGGCTAAGAGCCATTTTTAACTATTCGTATCTTCATTGATGTGTTAAAAATAAAGGTCCATGATCATTTCTGAATACTTGTCATAAATAAAAAAATAAAAATAATAATTATATAAATATCCGTTTAAAATATTTTACATTTTTTTTTTAACGTCTTGACGAATAAATTTCTAGAATAACATCACAAATCACATTGAGAAGCTATTCCCCACTTGCTACATCTGCATAATTAATTCACTAGTTATGCAGATGAAGGGTATAATTCTATTTATTTCAATAAGTTGCCAGCGAACAAAAGAGTCCTGCAAAGCAGATGTTGCAGTCCTTACAACAGGGGGAATGACTTGATCAACTTGGAAAAATCAGGACGAATATAATTGAAACAAAATGCGGAGAGATTAATACAACAATAAGATTAGATATGGAAAGAGATTTTTCTCTTCTTCTTCTTCTTCTTCTTCCTCCTCCTCTTCTGCTTTTTTTCTAATCTGATCAATGGAAATTTTACATAAAAGAGACATTTATGAACATTTTTTTTTCTTTTCTTTTCATTTATTCACACATTTCATTTTATATATANTAAAAAATTAAATAATATTTTTGTTTATATTACTTGTATTTTTTTTAGTTTTCTTGAAAAAAACTAACTTTGTAATCCTTATTTTTCTTGAAGAAATTAATTTTATAATGAGATGCTGCACGCATCTCATTCACTCAGGATTATAGAGTTAGTTTCTTCTTAATTATAATTAAAGTTAAATTCTATTTTTAAAACGATTTGCCATTGGTCAGAGTGATTTAATCTGTCGCCTACGTCAGACAGATGGACAGAACAATCCTGATTTCAGTAATCCATCATTTGAAATAGATCGAAAATTTCATCTTTAAACTTTTTCTTCTTCTTTTTATTTTATTTTTTTATTTAATTTGAAATCAGTGGGGGATCTAGAGCATTGTTGTCTAAAGTTGTTAAGAGAAAAATTATAGAAAATCGATTAAATTCTCGTGAAAACAATGATATTTTATAGAGGGGCACAATTAGAAAATTGGTTGATATTTATCGACATCTGACTAGAGTTAACTTAGTTTCATGCAACTGAATTAATTCAGTTGCATGAAACTAATAACTTTTAGCTTCTAGATTTGTTAAAATTTTAATTTTTAAATAAATTTTCAAATTAAGTATCGTAGAGCATCTTAAACTCGAGATGCTCCTTAAATTCGTAGCAGCATTACTCCTCGAAAGGATGCCCAAGATGAGAATTTTATATCATTTTTCTACTTACTAATTAAAAAATCTATATAAATCTACATGTTAATTATAATTGATTTTAAACGTATTTTAGTCTTTAATTAAATTTTTAAACTGTATTTACTTCTAATCAGCATCTAGTTTTTCTGTTTTAAACAGTGAGGCTTTGCTTGGTATAGAATTTCATATTTACATTTTATTAGAAGTAACGTGTGATGTGGTTCCCATACTAATTTATCAGCCTGTTAAATGCGGACGTAAGAGCTTGTAATAAAGTAATTTAGACAATTTATATATGCTTATACGTTATTTGTTTCGCACAGATCGACAGAACGTCCGTATCCACTCAGACAGTTTAGGTGACATTTAAATAGCTCGCGAACCCCGAGTTGATAGAGGTTGTTGTGAATATTAACGGTAATTTAATAATATTTAACACTTATTTTCAGTTAAAGTTAAAAATATTATAGAAAAGATATATTTCATTAGAATAGTTTAAATTTAAAAAAAATTTCATTAATTAATTAAAAAACAGAAGAACAATTAATTATATCGTTTCAACCATCAGCATCCGATTTTATTTCTTTATTTTATATTTAATTCTTGTGAGAATTATTATATTTACTTTCTCTTTAAAAATTTCTCGAGAAATTCGAGAATTTTTTTTATATTTAATTTCCTAAGCTACGACTTTAAAAATTAAATAAAATATCTATAAATATCGCATCGAGTTGACCTTAAAAAACCTCACTCGAGACATTACAAACCTCATAAATGTATCAATAAATAAATATATAACGCTACTTCTTCAATTATTCATATTTTATATCTAGAAATCTCAAGAAATTCTTAATAAAATATATTTAATTTGCGTATTTTAATATTATTTACTTGGTTTTTATTCATTAGAAAATAGGAAGAGAAGGTAACGTACGTGATAAATGGAGAAAAACGTGTGATAATTCAAAAAAATGCAGCCAATACGAGGGATTTATCTAAAATATATATATATATATATAAGGTTTTAAATTCAATTTTTATCGATAAATAAATATGAAACGTCCTCGACTCTCGGATGTCTCCTGTATTGAGTTTCGATCAGAAAGTCCACCATACAATAACATTCATTTTTGAGTTTCCTTACCGCATTTCTCTATTGAATATCCAAAAAAAATTTCCGAATTTTTCAATACTTATCCCTATAACCTAATATACTAAACATAAAATTGATCTTTCGATCTAACAATTGTATAGGCCCTACACTTCAGACTTTGATTGCAGCCTAAATTTACGGAACCTGTACGAAAATGACAGGCTTACTATGCAATTTAGGCCCAAAAACATGTAAATTTTTATATATTATTTTAGATTAAAGGAGCGTTTATCACTTTTCTGTAGGTTATATTTTAGGCCTGAGGAAGATCATAAGGCCTGTAGAGAAGGGGGTCAGAAGGCCACTTAAAACACGTGTTTTGGATTCACAGTTATGTGAAAAACATTATATAAATTAGTTTATTTTGATAGATAAGGGGGTAAAAACTATGTTTTATTGATTTTATCCGCATATTTTTATGGTTTTTGAAGTGGGGTGGAACCACATCTGTTACTGTTCTTAACCCCTTCCAGTATAGACTATTTTGAATGTAAATTATTAAAATCTGTTAGTTCTAACGTGTAAATATGATATAATAATATATATAATTATTTTATATTATACATTATTAACACTTGTAATGACGTGATGACGTGTATTTATGACGCAAAATTGCCGTTTGTTCGTTACACACGAACGAAAATACACGAGAAAAAACAAATTTACTTAATAAAAGAAATGTTTATTAAGTGTATTAATAAATACATAATGTGAAATATTACAGAATAAAGAATAAAGTTTCTTAATTTAACACCTGTAAAAATTTCAGGTTTTTTAACTTTTAAATACGTTTTCAGTTGAAGATTTTTACATTTTAAAGGCATTAATTTTAAATGTTTAATATGCTAATGAAGAGAAAAACACTATTATTTTCAGAATTTGAGAGAACACATTATCCAGACGTATTTGCAAGGGAGAGGTTGGCATCTAAAATCGATTTGCCTGAAGCCAGGATACAGGTAAGAAACGAAGTAGGTTCTTTCTTCTTATCTAAGATACAAAATATTTTAGTTAGAAGTTAATTTTTAAATATATTAGATAAATTTAAAAAGTTTATTTCATTCATTTCAACAGTTAAAATTATTATTATTTAGTAATTTAAAGAAGAAATTTTATAAGATGATAAGGTGGAAAGATCATCTCCAGCACCTTTTACAGATTAATTATAGTTATATAAGTTTAATTATAATTAAATTAATATTTTATGGAGGAAATAATGCACAAAAAACGACAAAATATTGTTGTTTTAATAGATTTAGTATGACACGCTTTTGTAGGCCCATCTTTTTTTTCAGGTTTGGTTTTCGAATCGTCGAGCGAAGTGGAGGAGGGAAGAAAAGTTAAGAAATCAAAGAAGAGCTGCGGAACAGGCGGCTGTTTCAGTTACAAGTCCAACACCAGCACGTCTTTCTATTAATTCTGGTTTCCCTAACGCACTATATCCTACTATAGGCCAACCCATGGCCAGTATGGCCGAGACATACAGGTAATTACAATTATACGCCTTGTATTCTAAGAGCTTCATCTTGCTTCTTTTTTTCTTCTTGGGAAGGGTCGTTGATCTTTATTTATTTAAAAATTAATGGCCCAATTAAGGATAAAATCCTATTATTTATTAAGGTATATAATATTTTAATTTAAAATAGTATAGAAGAGCACGTAAACACTCAAAATAGTTTACTTTTCCGCAGAGTCTAATTGGAGGAGGGATAAAATTTCACTTATCCTTACTCACGTTTTAGTGATTTTCGCGCGAAATTTAGATAAATTTCACTCTTTTATCTATTAATTATTTTCATTTAGTCTCAAGGGATTTAATTTTAAAATTAATGGTGATAGATTGTTCCCTTAGATCACGTTTAAAAAACAGACTCATCAAGTGAATCCCTCCAGAGAAGATGCCATGCTGTAATTACAGCTTGCATTTTAATATGTTAGAAGGGGTCAAAGGCCTAATTTTGCTTATCACAGCGAGTAAATTTTTCATTCATCGAGCAGTTATCTTACGAAAATTTAGAGAGAATCCGAACAAACATGGTTGACTTGCTGGCAGACAGACTGCTCCAACACACAAGTTGTGTTCCTTGAATGTAACATGGGGTGAGAACATGTTGAAGGAGAGATGAAATATGATTGGATAGTATAATTACGGTATTAATTAAGCAGTCACCTGGTGGTCCGTGCGTCAAGTTTTACTTACCCCCCAACCAATTACAGTCATTCCCGAGCCGCTTCTAAATTTCGTAATTATATACTAAGCTTCCGGTTCCGCTATTCTGTTATTAAAACGTCCTTACTCTTTTCTGTATAATTTTCCTCGTCTAATTTTCACTTCATAATTTAACCTAAATTATATAAATAGCGGGTGACTTAGACTTATAGATTATTATTTAAGTAGTCCTCTTACTAGCTAGGATTCTTTAGAATTTCCACGTGTTAAACTCTTAACATTGGTTTTTCAGCTCCCTGCCTACAATGCCCAGTTACAGTATGGCAAACAATATGGCGACAAGCTCGTGTCTTCAGCAGCAGACTTCTTCCTATTCTTGCATGTTACCACCGGGTGGAACAAGAGCATACGATCCTCTATCCCTGGGTAACTATTCTCGCTCAACTTGTCCAACGGCACAACCTCACATGATGCAGTCGGTCAACGGACAGTTCACAACAGTCAACAATGGAAGCGCCGCATCAACTGGTAAGTTTCGTATAGAATTATGCGCTTTTATAGGTAATTTACTGGCATAAAAACCCCTCCCGCTCACCCCACCGTCGATTTACTTGGAGGCATTTTGATTAAAAATGACACCGCGAATCTATGTAATAAAACACTCGATTGCTTCTTAACCCCGTTGGTGATTAGCCTAACGACGGGAATATTTATAGAACGAGTTATTCGTCCAAATTTTCAGTCTGTCACGTCTTCTCTTTCCATTTGCATAATGAAATTAATACACTTGATAACGAGATTTGCGTTTAAGAAACTTTTGTCACATTCGCCATTATAATCGATGTTTAATCAAACTCAAGGATTAATAAATACACGAAAACGAATCATTTCCGGTCTTGTCTACCTCACCCCACCTCCTCTTCAGTTTCTTTAACATTAAAAAAACCAATTAAACTAGGATAGATTTAAAACTCACCCCGCATAAATTTCGCTTGTAATTTAATAAATTAAAGCGAAATTAAGGTAACAAACATTTATATTTTATATTTATACAATTTAATTTTGAAAAAATCTATTTATTGGAGTGTAAAATACATATTTAAAAAAAAAAAAATCTTTCCGACGTTTAAAACATAACTCGCGTCATTTGAATAAATGAAAATAAGTGGGTCTTTCAATATAATTTCCTCCTTAAAATTCTTTAGAAAACTTCAATTTGATGGAGGAAAGAAAGAACCTAAATTAAAACGTGAATTCTCACGAATGTCACGTAGTCATGCCAGTAATTAAATGTTACGGGTGACAGACTCTTCCTCGTGTAATCTGTTCGCGTCGAAGATCGCTTCGTCCAACACACGTGTCAGTTAACGAGCGACGCAGACTGGTGACAAGAGTATTGGAAGATGTAATTATCCATCCAATGTACACACACATGCTGCCTTGGCAAAGATTTGTTGAAAGTTAGCGAGGGTTATACTGCATTATAACTTGTTTAATTAGAGCTTCTACACAATAGAACCTTATATTATGTTAAAGGGTTTCATAGTCACAGTCACGAGATTGGATCTATTAGTCTCTTTTGTTTATTTATCAAATTTGTTTGTATCAATTATAATCCCTTAGCTTTCAAAATTTATACGAGGCAGAACGGGATTTATAGGTCATTGACTTACAATCTTAAAGTATATATTTGCACGATTTCTATCGTTTTCTATTTGCTTAACGCAAGTCGTACACCGGATACAAGCGATTAATTTCAAAGTTTCAACTGTTTACACGCGATATTTAAACAATTCTATTTAATTAATAGGAAATTTTTGTGTAAAATAACCGCGCTTTAACGTATAACGCGCACCGGCCATTACGGCCGGTGCGCGTTATACGTTAAAGCGCCTTAGATTTTTTTTCTGTTTTATTTGATTAATTTTTTATATAAGGGTTATAAAACTATTGAAAACTTTTCAGGCCTTATATCACCTGGTGTTTCCGTGCCAGTTCAAGTACCGGGACAAGCGAACGATCTCAATATGGCGTCGAATTACTGGCCCAGGTTACAGTGACAACTAGTAGCTTAAGCATCTTATTGCCGAGTGACTTCAACGATGACTGATCGGTCACTTTCTCCTGGGATGGGTAGGCGTGTCCAGACTCGACACCCCAAGGTTTATCGCCGGTCTTTCTAAATTTGCTGACTGTCCTCTATTTTGACAGATGAGATTGTCGTCCACATCGCACATAAACTCTTTGGACAAGATAAACTACATCTTCAAATTCTTGTCTAAATGAGCTTTAATCATTTACTTTCAAACAATAATTTAACAATATTTAAATTGGTATATCGTTTCCACAGGTTTTAAATTTCCCATTCATTAAGTCATCATTTCCAGTTCCGGTTCTGATTCTTTGTTTATAAAATAAGAGAATTAATATTTTATGGAGGAAATAATGCACAAAAAACGACAAAATATTGTTGTTTTAATAGATTTAGTATGACACGCTTTTGTAGGCCCATCTTTTTTTTCAGGTTTGGTTTTCGAATCGTCGAGCGAAGTGGAGGAGGGAAGAAAAGTTAAGAAATCAAAGAAGAGCTGCGGAACAGGCGGCTGTTTCAGTTACAAGTCCAACACCAGCACGTCTTTCTATTAATTCTGGTTTCCCTAACGCACTATATCCTACTATAGGCCAACCCATGGCCAGTATGGCCGAGACATACAGGTAATTACAATTATACGCCTTGTATTCTAAGAGCTTCATCTTGCTTCTTTTTTTCTTCTTGGGAAGGGTCGTTGATCTTTATTTATTTAAAAATTAATGGCCCAATTAAGGATAAAATCCTATTATTTATTAAGGTATATAATATTTTAATTTAAAATAGTATAGAAGAGCACGTAAACACTCAAAATAGTTTACTTTTCCGCAGAGTCTAATTGGAGGAGGGATAAAATTTCACTTATCCTTACTCACGTTTTAGTGATTTTCGCGCGAAATTTAGATAAATTTCACTCTTTTATCTATTAATTATTTTCATTTAGTCTCAAGGGATTTAATTTTAAAATTAATGGTGATAGATTGTTCCTTTAGATCACGTTTAAAAAACAGACTCATCAAGTGAATCCCTCCAGAGAAGATGCCATGCTGTAATTACAGCTTGCATTTTAATATGTTAGAAGGGGTCAAAGGCCTAATTTTGCTTATCACAGCGAGTAAATTTTTCATTTATCGAGCAGTTATCTTACGAAAATTTAGAGAGAATCCGAACAAACATGGTTGACTTGCTGGCAGACAGACTGCTCCAACACACAAGTTGTGTTCCTTGAATGTAACATGGGGTGAGAACATGTTGAAGGAGAGATGAAATATGATTGGATAGTATAATTACGGTATTAATTAAGCAGTCACCTGGTGGTCCGTGCGTCAAGTTTTACTTACCCCCCCATCTAATTACAGTCATTCCCGAGCCGCTTCTAAATTTCGTAATTATATACTAAGCTTCCGGTTCCGCTATTCTGTTATTAAAACGTCCTTACTCTTTTCTGTATAATTTTCCTCGTCTAATTTTCACTTCATAATTTAACCTNGAATTTTTTTTTTTTTTTGAATTTTTGAATATAATGAATGGAATTCTAAACAACTATTCATACATTTTATTATTGTTGTTGTATACATTTTAATTGAGAATTTTTAATTATTTATACTGTTTTCGTGTATAAATCTTTATAGAATTTACTTTAAAATGTTGAAAATTTATAAATAAATATATATATTGTCAATTTATTTAAGTAGAATTACCGAAACAAACGTTTAATTTCAAGCTGTTATCTTCGGAATTTTACTAACTTTTACTACTTTTTTAATACGATTTACTTATAAAATATTTATTTTAAAAGCATTAAATATTAAATAAATATTTTGAAATTTCAAAAATAAACCATTTAGACTATTTAAGGCTAATTTCATTAAAATCCTTGAAGAGCTTGACTCATTTTTGCGACTTATACAACATTATTTTCTAATATACTATGCAGTTTTTGTATAAAATTCTTATAATATTTATTTAAAAACATTAAAAATAAACGAATAAAAACACATTTTAAAAATATTTATTAAAATTAAACATAAATTTAAAGCTATTTTTGCTTAAAAATCTTCAAGAAGTCGATTCATTTTTGCCACTTATAAAATTTCATTTTTTAAATTTTTATGTAAATTTTTTAAATTTAAAATACATAGAAATGAAATTCTATTTATACATTATTTTTTAATATAAAATATTCGCGTTTATTAATTAATTTTAGTGGAAAAATGATGCGACGAAATGTCTTAATTGTTCAACTGTCAAGTCATATTCGTGGCTCTTTTCAATATGGGATCAATTTAAACTAAAGAAAGATCTAAGAAGTTGGCTTCCTGCCACTTTTATAAGATTTATAAAAAGAAACTGACTCGTTAAAAATAAATAAGATGTTATAAACAATGTAAAACTGTGATAAGACTTAAAAAATTCTCAAAATTTAAAGCTACAACTAACTTTTCGTATGATTAATTAGCTTAAATTATCGTAAAAAATACATCGCCTTCATGCAAATGTATAAAGTTTTCATCAAAATTAAGGATTTATACGAATCTACTTTAATAAAATTCACTTTACACCAAGAAAATTAAGTAATCACACTTAAAAAAATCAAAATAAAGCACCTTCTTTACTGCATAGGTCCTTAATTATAATAATACCTTAGAGCCTTTTAATTGTAATTAAACTAGTCCCAAACAGGGGCCTAATTATAGATTGAAAAGTAATAAGTATATGAGAAATTTTATTAAATTAATTCGGAAAGTTAAGGCCTTTCTATAAAAGGCTAAACTAGAATTTTCAAGAAAATTTAAGCTTTCTTGTGAAGATTATTAATTGTTCATTTTCTATAATCGAATAGGCCTTGGTTTATTGTAACTCTTTCACTCTGTATGCGACCAGTTAAGTAGAATAACTCGTGTTAAATCTATAAATTTGTGCCGTAAACACACTTAAAAAAACTCTTTACACGATTCATTATTTAGGAAATTTAATTATGTTAGATTTATATCTAACTTAATATTAAATAATTCAGTTTAAATTAGATCTTTCGTACATAATGCTAACTTATCGAAACTTTCTACTGAAAATAAATTCAGAATTTTTATTAAAATAATTTAATTTTTTATGCCAAATTTAAGATATGATAAGGGCCTAACGAGTAACACAATTTGTATCGAAATCTTGTTTTAAACTGGCATCTACTTGGGCCTTAAAACGAGTTATATGATAAATTAGTAGCGAGATCTTGCGTCTAATTTTGAAGGGCCTATTCATTTTTAATGTTATTTTAGGGCCCTTACAATTTAGAATTAACTCACATAGCTGTAATTTATAGTTAATAAAGTTAATTAACTATAAATCATGCATATTTGCAGCTTGTTAATACTTTAACAAGCTGCGCGTATGCATGATTTTTCCTAATTTACCTAGTTGGTTAACGTCTAAAATTTGGCAAAAATCTATATTTATGCGATTGAGAAGGGTTACGTACACATTAATAAGGGATTATGTACACGTAACAGTCCATATTTGTCTGTGATAACGTGCGTAACTTCAGAGGATGGCAGAAGAATAATTTGTTGACCAAAAAAATAAAAAAAGAAACAATACTGTGGGCTACAACATCATTGTACGGACGTCTCTACATATTCAAAATGTAGTTTTAAATTTCAAACATAGTTGCTCCGTCATATTTGCATAAGAACCGAACCTAACTTCAGCCCTTTCTTATTTTGGCATGCAAACAAACAGATTCATCCCGCAGTGGGGCTTTACATTCACAAAGTTTTCACGTGATCTAAGCGTAACCAATCACGTTTTGCCCGTCTGATTGCCTTGACTTTAGGAGCTATGCAAACAGAGAGAGAGAATGGGGAATTCATCCATTCCGGGCGGGCCTATCTCCATTTGATCCGTCCGACCCTCTTCTCAATTGCCGAACGCCTTCCACTTCACCTATTTTGTAGGAATCCTCTAGCAAACATTGGACCAGCACCAAACCGGTTTTGACATCCGTGCGACGGAGCAGAAATTTAAATTAGTGGTCCTGTCTATCCTCTTGATTCCTTACCTATATTCATCCAAGCTATTGTGACGATCTTGTTAGTTGAAGCACGAAATCAAAGTCTGTGTAAACGTTTTTCTGTTGCCGAAACAAATCGTTCATTCTGTCCAAAAGCGCTAATCGCATTCTTTTGAATCTGATATTGGATTCACCATTTTACGCAGCTCGCGACGGGGGGGAGGAAGAGGAAGAAGATGAAGAAGAAGGAAGAGAGGAGGAAGAGTAGGAAAGAAGAAAAAAAAAAAAAGCTTCCATTACTGTGCAGGGATCTTAAAACCTTCGCGAGGTAAAGCATTAAATCGACCCCACTAGCCATTTCCTTTTAACGAGTAAGGAAATGTTTTCTGGGGGAGGGAGAGCCGTGCAAATGGACGCAAATTACTCTAAACCGAATATTTCATTTCTGGAGCTTCCTTCATTTTCTCTTTTTCCGATCTCGCAGTCATTTTTTCTCCTCTTTTTTTTTAATTCTTCGTTTCTATTCTTTTCTACTTCCCGGTCGTTGCCGCTCTAACGCGTTTGTCTGGACGCATCAAATTATAAGTACACGCTCCGACTGATCTCTTTAGGTCTAAATTGGACTGCACCGGTTTAACGAAGCCAACGAGCCATTGAGAAGCAAGCAGTGGATTTGACACAAGTCGGATGCCTACTTAACTGTCTAATTGGATTGAATGCTAGTCGTAATTGTGGAGAATTTGTCGGCTTTTTTTTCCCTTCTTCCTTCTTCTTCTTCTCAATTCGTTGATGTTGCAGCTTCTTCACTCTCCTGATGGGTGTTGCGACAATTTTTAAACATTCTCTTTTCTTCCTTCGCCGCAAACGTTCCGCCCTCTCACAATTAATATTTTGACGTTTCAAACTTTAAGCACTTCGCACTTAAATGGCCTTTTTCAAGCAAATTCTGATGGAGAAGAGCAAGAGCAAGGGGGAAAAAAACCTTTCGCATTATTTATTTAAATCGCTAACTTTATCCAATTATGACTTAATTCGATAAATTAATTTTTATGAAAGCGCTTTTTTGAAGACGAACAACAAGAGCAGTCCCGTTTAAGTGTATTAAACAATTAAAAAGATAATTTAAGTACGTAAAAAGATTTATAAATTTATTCGTAAACACGTTATTTCGAATATATAACGAAATTTTCTTTATTTAAACGCTTCCACCATCAAATTTCTAAATTTTAGTATAAAAGTAGAGAAATTTAAATTAGACCATATATTAAAATATATTATTAAATTCTTTACTTAAAATTAGATAAAAT